TCGTTCGCATAAACGACCAGGAATGGTTCAATGTCCGGAAAAACGAGTAGTGAGGATGACAATGACTCAGTTGCATTGGTGTTGCAGTAGTTGAACCTCTCCAAGTCGAATTTCAAGGGACCAGCAAAAAAATTCCGCTTAGGGAGGCTTTGACATATGGAGGTTTGGAATTATTGAGGTTTGAGCTAAATCAAATAGCTCTTTAGTTCTGGGAAACATAGAAAAATAGCCCAGAAATTTAAATGGTGGTATTCTGGGGCTTCAATTGCTTATTTAAATGATTTGAAAGGATGCTGAACTTGTTAGGCAGCGGTTCATTTGCCCAATTAAGTCATTCACTTCCTTTATTTCTTGTCTCAATAAAATCATAGCCAACAGTCCACGGAAAATTCGACTTACACAGGTTTGAGGGAAAAGCTTCTGATTTAGGGAGGTTTTTCATTCGTTATTTTTAAGGGGATCTGAAAAAAATTCGACTTAAACGGGGATTCGACTCAGCAGGGAGGTTCGAGTTATGGAGGTTCACCTGATTAAATTAGATTTCTTGAGAGATAATTCAGACACAGACAGAACCAAAATTTGACATTTCGACGCTTTTGCCTCATCAGGGAGATTTGAGTCATCAAGGTCCAACTGCAAGGTTTGGCTTGTTATGTTAACTGGAGAAAAATTCGGTAGTACTGTCAAAGTACTGTTCGTTAAGCTGTGGCCAGGCCATATTTTTTCAGCTTATTTTTTGGGAATGCCCGATTTCGTAAATTCTTATAAATTCCGCACACAGTACTGCAGCATTTTCCAGCAAAATGATTTAAAACTTATTATCCTGTGACAGGGCTTCCAAATGAACAAAATCCGTTTATTACCGCTTTTCTGCTTTTCAGAAAGGCGGGAAATCATTTCCGCTCCCATTTTCCAAATAGCATTTCTTCTTCTACGGTAGTCCCTGCCAAAAATGAATAAAATCGCTGCGTCAATATTTACTCTAATCCTGAAGGGATAATCAAATATTGACTCTGTATCAGGTGAGTGGGTGGGGAACGGAAAAAATATGGAAGGAGTAAATCCTCTCTCAGGCTCTTATCGCACGCAACGGAACTCAGTTGGGTCTCAGACGAACGAATACCCGAAAACAGGGTTCGTGTCTCGTAGTCTGACTTGGTGCAGTTACAGTTGGTGGTTCGTGCACGCGTTCGGCGTACATATGTACGTATATAATACTGTATGTGTGTATGTGCGTGAGGCGATAACGGGAAACGTCACAACAGAATTATTAGCAGCAACTGCATGCACACGTGATCATTAGTTGCATTTCGTCCCGTTCCTTTTTTCCGTGTTTCCCAACAAAATCACTGTTCCTTGAAAAATGATGAGGAAAGCTAGAAAATATGCAGGGTGGACTGGGAATATACAGTAGTGGATATACCGGAGTCTTTTGACTGTAATACCTTCTGATGAAAGGCTTGAGCTAAAATCCTGAAAAGTGCAAGCAATATAATAGGCTCGATGTCTTCCCAGAAAGGAAGTTTGTTCTAAGTAGTTCGAAGAAAAATACTCATTGTGTCGGCAATTTTTTTCACACGAGGTTTGATATAAATTCTGTTAATATCTTCTAAAATGTGAAATACAAAAAAATAATTTTTGAACTTTATGTTACAGAGAGTTAAACTTTCGACAATGCATTCTAAAACCTTTAAAATGCATAAGAACGCTTTTTTAATGCTCTTCAAAATTTGGTATTTTGTATGATATGCCCTTCATTCATTTCAAGCAAACATTATTTCTAATCAATGTCTTTCTTGTATTGTCCCAGAGTAAAAATAAAAAATAAAAAAATAAATGCTGACATTCTTCCCTGAAATTAATGACGTTTTATTCTTACGCGAGAATACAAAAAATCACTTGAATTTTTCAGGAAATTAAAAGTAATTTATCTTGCCAATACCTTCCAAAACTTTTAGAATATTATGTTTTTCCAAAAGGTGTCTGACAGTTCTTCTTGATACTGTAATTTCCCACTTTACTTCAATCCAAATTAATCTTGGAAATTTAAATTTTCCTCATACTGCATTTTGTTCTATTTTTCACGTCAAATAATATTACGACATGGTTCCTCACGAAAAATTTATGAAAAAGAAGGAATAAAACTTTTTTGAAGGGTTATATTTTATTTTTTAGCACAATTTCGGTCGTATGCAGTCACGTAAGTTCATCATGTGGAGCCAAGTTATTTCCAATTGTCACTCTTTTTTTTTTAGCAAAATAAGACGAGACGTTAATCTCCCTGGGACCTTGACACAGTACCCAGAAATAATTAGATGTAAGAGAAACTCGTGGCATGAAAACATCGCCGTACTTTTCTCCCGGTCCACCCTGTATAGTGCCTGTACCCAGAAAAAAAGGAGCCTACAGAATTTGTATGTTTCATTTCCGGTGATCCTCGTCCCTGTGGGTGATGTTCGCATACGTTCACGATTTGAAAACGAAATAAAACGAAAATAAAATGAATATACGCATCAGGGGATGCAACTCGCGAGCTATGAAACGTGGTGCCGCGGAAACAAAGGCGGTCCTGCTGGNGCTTATTTAAATGATTTGAAAGGATGCTGAACTTGTTAGGCAGCGGTTCATTTGCCCAATTAAGTCATTCACTTCCTTTATTTCTTGTCTCAATAAAATCATAGCCAACAGTCCACGGAAAATTCGACTTACACAGGTTTGAGGGAAAAGCTTCTGATTTAGGGAGGTTTTTCATTCGTTATTTTTAAGGGGATCTGAAAAAAATTCGACTTAAACGGGGATTCGACTCAGCAGGGAGGTTCGAGTTATGGAGGTTCACCTGATTAAATTAGATTTCTTGAGAGATAATTCAGACACAGACAGAACCAAAATTTGACATTTCGACGCTTTTGCCTCATCAGGGAGATTTGAGTCATCAAGGTCCAACTGCAAGGTTTGGCTTGTTATGTTAACTGGAGAAAAATTCGGTAGTACTGTCAAAGTACTGTTCGTTAAGCTGTGGCCAGGCCATATTTTTTCAGCTTATTTTTTGGGAATGCCCGATTTCGTAAATTCTTATAAATTCCGCACACAGTACTGCAGCATTTTCCAGCAAAATGATTTAAAACTTATTATCCTGTGACAGGGCTTCCAAATGAACAAAATCCGTTTATTACCGCTTTTCTGCTTTTCAGAAAGGCGGGAAATCATTTCCGCTCCCATTTTCCAAATAGCATTTCTTCTTCTACGGTAGTCCCTGCCAAAAATGAATAAAATCGCTGCGTCAATATTTACTCTAATCCTGAAGGGATAATCAAATATTGACTCTGTATCAGGTGAGTGGGTGGGGAACGGAAAAAATATGGAAGGAGTAAATCCTCTCTCAGGCTCTTATCGCACGCAACGGAACTCAGTTGGGTCTCAGACGAACGAATACCCGAAAACAGGGTTCGTGTCTCGTAGTCTGACTTGGTGCAGTTACAGTTGGTGGTTCGTGCACGCGTTCGGCGTACATATATACGTATATAATACTGTATGTGTGTATGTGCGTGAGGCGATAACGGGAAACGTCACAACAGAATTATTAGCAGCGAACTGCATGCACACGTGATCATTAGTTGCATTTCGTCCCGTTCCTTTTTTCCGTGTTTCCCAACAAAATCACTGTTCCTTAAAAAATGATGAGGAAAGCTAGAAAATATGCAGGGTGGACTGGGAATATACAGTAGTGGATATACCGGAGTCTTTTGACTGTGATACCTTCTGATGAAAGGCTTGAGCTAAAATCTTGAAAAGTGCAAGCAATAATAGGCTTCATGTCTTCCCAGAAACGAAGTTTGTTCTGAGTAGTTAGAAGAAAAATACTCATTGTGTCGGCAATTTTTTTCACACGAGGTTTGATATAAATTCTGTTAATATCTTCTAAAATGTGAAATACAAAAAATAATTCTTGATCTTTATGTTACAGAGAGTTAAACTTTCGACAATGCATTCTAAAACCTTTAAAATGCATAAGAACGCTTTTTCAATGCTCTTCAAAATTTGGTATTTTGTATGATATGCCCTTCATTCATTTCAAGCAAAAATTATTTCTAATCGATGTCTTTCTCGTATTGTCCCAGTGTAAAAAACAAGCAAAAATAAATGCTGACAATATTCTTCCCTGAAATTAATGACGATATATTCTTACGCGAGAATGCCAAAAATTCGCTTGAATTTTAAGGAAATTAAAAGTAATTTATCTTGCCAATACCTTCCAAAACTTTTAGAATATTATGTTTTTCCAAAAGGTGTCTGACAGTTCTTGATACTGTAATTCCCCACTTTACTTCAATCAAAATTAATCTGAGAAATTTAATCTTCCTCATACGGTATTGACTTCATTTTTTCATGTCAAATAACATTACGACACTGTTCCTCACGAAAAATTTATGAAAAAAGGAATACAACTTTTTCGAGGAGTTATATTTGATTTTTGAGCACCATTTCGGTCGCATGCAGTCACATACATAAGTTCATCATGTGGAACCAAGTTATTTCCAATTGTCACTCGGTTTTTAGCAAAATAAGACGAGACGTTAATCTCCCTGGGACCTTGACACAGTACCCAGAAATAATTAGATGTAAGAGAAACTCGTGGTATGAAAGCATCGCCGTACTTTTCTTCCGGTCCACCCTGTACCCAGAAAAAAGAGGAGCCTACAAAATGTGTATGTTTCATTTCCGGTGATCCTTGTCCCTGTCTGTGATGTTCGCATACGTTCACGATTTGAAAACGAAATAAAACGAAAATAAAATGAATATACGCATCAGGGGATGCAACTCGCGAGCTATGAAACGTGGTGCCGCGGAAACAAAGGCGGTCCTGCTGGTGGACATTGCAGCAGCAGTCGGCATCCTACGATTGTTTCCTTCAGTTCTGCTTCCGGTGTTCGTTTGACATAAGAATTCCGCGAATATAAGGACCGCAGGGAGGAGCGGAAAAAAAGTCGACAGTGTGAACTTTTGTGGTTCGTTTAGGCCATGCAGCATCAGTGATGGCTCACCAGCAGCAGCAGCAGCGCAGTAAAGGTGCGAAAGTGAATGATAATGTGAGAGAGTTGAAAGTCGTGCTGGTCGGGGATAAACGTGTGGGGAAAACGGCTGTGATCCAGCAATTGGTCTACGAACGATTCCTCGACGTGAGTTCATTATATTTGAAAAATAAGGAGAAACAATGCATGCACGATTTGCATAGGTACAATATTTCCCGAGAATCATGTTCAATTTGTTACATATACTGTATAAGGCTAGATCAGTGTTGCCAACCTTGTTGGACACGTGAATGTACCACCAAATTTCCATACAAACGTTTTGCAGATTGAAAAAAATTAATGAACAATTCTGCGGACTGGCAAAGTTTCAAAAAATTTTTGCAGACTCCAACAAGCTTTTTTTGAAAGACTTTATTGCAGGTATTTCAAAAGTTTCTTTTCTCTTTTTTTGCTAAAATTAAATTAAAACCCAATGAAGCAGCTATAGTAGAAGGTCTAAGGTGGACTTAAAGGAAGGTTTCTCAAAATTAAATATTAGAATAATTTATTCCAGCTGGTGGTGAAAATGTGTCCGAAGGGTTATGAGGAGAAAAGGAACTTTAATTTTTCATCAAATAATTTCAACTACCATTGTCTTTTGAAAAGTTCCAATAAAAATAGCAGACTTCATTGCTACTTTTTATACATTTATTATGCTGAAGAAAATTTCTCGCGGACCACCAAAAAAAACTTCTGGTGGCCAGCGCTGGTCCATGGACCATGGGTTGGGGAAAACCCCAGTTTTCTGTGATGAGACAAAAATCTATCTTTTTATGAAATACAAACTAAACTTTGAACTTTACGCAAATAAAATTAGAATTAAATGCTGCATCTTTAGAAGTTTAGATAATGCGCTCTCCAAGTGAGCGGACGAAGTCAGATAACCTAGGCAGAATAACCGAGGCACTTGAAAATTTGATCTGAATTCTTGAAAATTATAAGGCCCATTCGTTATTTTATGCTTTTTAAAATTATAATTCCTTTTGTTATTCGAACGTACAAATAAGCGAGCATTTAATTTCATAGTTCATCATTGATTGGAATTTCAACGCTCTGAGAGATCCCCGGTATGTTAGAAAGAGATTTCAGAAATCAAGCGTGACGTGACGGATTGAGAATGTTCATCGAACTTTTTCTTTCATCTTTGTGCCAATTACGAATGTTTTCTTCGATATTCCCGTTACAGTGCTATACGCCAACAAACTTCGACACGTATGGAAGACAGTGTGAAGTCGGCGGATGGCTCGTGAATTTCGCTCTCTGGGACACTTCAGGTGAGTGAAACGAAATGATTTCACAGTATTTGAGAGAAAACATTTCGACAATTCTTCTTCAAATACTTTACTGTGAAACATTTTTAAATCGCAAATTTGCAGAGATTGTAATTGCCTCAAACTGTTATCGAAGATGTTGTCGGTCGCGGCCCGAAGCGAGGCAGCTCCAGCATCCGGTTGAAACCGGACCCCAAAACGTGCTGTATTTCCGAGGCCAGTGAGCCTCAGCAAAAATCCTGTTTTTGCGAGACTCACTGAGCCTCACTCAAGGACAAGAAGTGGTCATCACTTCTTCGATTTTCCTTTATTGGCCAATCCTGAGCCAGGAAGAAATCACCTGATTTATTCCTGACCCAGTCCAAGCACCTGGCTGTAAAAGCCTTCATTCCTCTTTGAGAGAAAAAGTCAGAATCTAGTGTTAAAAGGGCCTTTTAACTTTAAATTACCTGATTCAATATTATGAGCTAACCACCCAATTTTACAATTGACTCTGACGTTACAACCATTTAATTGAACAGCCAATTGATGAACTGGGCAATGAGAATGAACTCCTCTGGAAAGAGTTTGAGTTCTTATTCAAAACTTGCGTTCTGATGGCTGCACAATTCAATTCCTTTGTCTGGGATCCAATGGACCCATGACAGATGTCATCAGAAATTCCAGCAAATTTTTTAAGGTCAGCAAATTTTCCCTCCATTTGGGAAACTTTTGATTTGAATCTCGAGCTGATAATTCCTGGCTGCAATGAATATTCGACAATATCAGAAAAACTAGCTTATTTCTAAATTTTCCGCGCGTTTGTCCTCAGAATAATATACCATAAGAATTCGCTTTACTCTCGGATGAGCTTTCAGAGTTTAATTTAATTGTGGTTAAAATAATTCAGAAATCAGGGAACTCGGACATTTTTTTCATTTTGAATGTATCGAAAAGTGCCAGTAATAATAATGAGCTTTTAATACAGTGTTAACAATTATGTTCCTTTATTGCTATTTAAGAGAAATTAATGAGAGAAATCACTGCAGTATGTCAGCAAGTGATTTCTCTTAAGCCATGGTGGAAATTTCCGAGTGCTTGCAGATAAATGTGAGCTGATTTCAAGGGTATTTATAGGTTTTTCATTCTCACATTTTTTTCACATCGATAGTCTTCGAAGAGAAAAAAAACTTGAAGTGGGAGATATAAAATCAATTTTGCTGACACTCGATGTGAAATTTATTTATTTTATCTGCAATTGCAAAAAAAAAAAACTCGAAATATTTTTTATCGTTTGTTGAACTCTCACTTAATTTGTGTGGAATTATTTTCTGAGCTTTTTCTTTCGCGACTGAAATTTAGAAGGCAACTCAACTCCTCTTCGTCTAAATAACAGACGAGTGAAGTTGTTGAATCGAAATTCTGCTGTTTTATCTGCAATCCATGGTACTTTCCGTTACATGTTTTCGGGAAGGAAAAATTAATCTTCAACTCCTGTATTCACTCGAGCGACGAATATTGAAATTCCCAGAAAATAAAAGGGACTATGAAAAAATTTGAATAAAATTTAATAGTTTTTTTTCTGCTTCTGCTGGGTGCAATCGCGTCCATCAGGTGCACGAATTCTCTGAGCTGAATTGATGCTCAAGTTTCTCAATAGAAAGCATTTTTATCTCCCATGCAATCTTGTCATTGTTTCTGAAACTTTTGGCAAGATAGGCATGATGCTGAACATGAACTCATGCGCAAGGACGATGAATCAAAAAGTAGCTGGAAAGTTTTTCTTGCGTGTGCGAGAAACTTCGTGGCCAAAGTACAGTACAGTTTCCGAGATTTTTTTTTTTGCGCGCAGATTTTTTTTTTGTGTGGAATGGCATTACTGGTCTACAGGCCAAGAGTACTGCAGAATCTTTGGGTCATGATCATCGCGTGCTTTTTTTGCTTTTGCTATTTTCGTTTGCGAATATAATTCAATCCTTTATTATTGCAACTCTTTCAAGCACATCATAAACTGTGTCCATGAGACGATGAACAGACACTCGAGCCCTGTGCTTACAAAACCTGAAGTTGAATCCTTTGATATGGAAACCCTTTGAGGTTTTTTTTTTTTTTGCATTGAAATGTAAAAATATTTTCACGAGTTTCATCCGACGACTTTCGTTTTTTAGTCTTTTATAGAAGAGGCACTAAACTTTTCGTCAGAGAGTCGAAAAAGGTGTAATTGAGGGAGATAAAAATGGATGAAATTCGCTGCACGAAGATGCTGATGCAAGGAAAAGAGAAAATTACACTTTCAAAATTCGAAGACACTCATTTCATTTATGTGACATTCATTTCATTGCTTTGGACAAGGAAGACTCATGAAAAAAAAGATCAAATGGTTTGCGTGTGGAAGAACGAGTGAGCTTCGAATTCCGTGCTGTCCAACCCTTCAATTCGATCCCCCAAAAGCAGCCGAAAAACGAAATCACGCGACGAATATTCTTCTCACGAATTCGTGAAAATTTTCTTCTACATGAGACAAGGACTTTTCTTAAAATTTGAAGACTTCGAAAGCAGTGGGAAACTCCGCAGCGCTGAGATAACTTCTTGCTGGATATAATTATTTTGTTGCAAATAAAGGAATACAGTAAAGGATATTTTTTTTAATTTACTTCAGCGATGCGAATTTCGATCCAATTTTTACCAGATAACGATCAGTCAGGCCATTGATAAATCTGTGATGAATCAAGGCAACAGGAATTTTTTTAAACAAAAAATTAAAGCAGTCCTATTTTATGTACTGTTGGAATTGTTCTCTTCGCAATATCTCGGACTTCTTGCTGGATATAATTATTTTGTTGCAAATAAAGGAAGATGGCCTTGAAAAATTGCGTGAATCTCAAAAGATGATTGAGTACCGTATTTATGTTTCTTTTTAGAAAATTGAAAGACACGTCCTAGGTACTGAAAAAAAATCGAGTGAACTCCGTAAGAAAATCGCGGAAATTAATTTCCGCACTGCCCTTTTTTCAAATATTTTAAGCACGTGAACTCAAGTGGAATTGAACCGTTGAACATCATTTCGAACATGATTGAGCTTTTTTTTAAAGTTTCAAACCGTATTACGATAGCTTCAACATTCACAGAAATATCTCGCATTAAAAATTGATCTAATTTTTTTATGAACCACCCTTTAAAGCTCGACACAAGGTTTTAAAATTTTACTCCGGAATTCAAAATTGGAGAGTCATTTGTTGAAATGTTTCGTTCCTTGAGCTTCCGTGACAAATTATTTTAATAGCTTCGAATCTTTCTCGAAAACGTCGCGATGTCCAACTTTCTCAGACACGCATGAAAAGACAATTGCGAATTATTGCTGAAAACTGCTTCAAAGACTTCATCTCTTTAAAAATTCTCACGCATCTTTGGCTTCGAAATGCTAGTTGAAATAAATTGAGACACAATCGTTGAAGAATTGTGGAAGTTGGGATGAATTATGATGATTACGCTCATCTGCAAGACTGGTACTGTTCTCGAAGAAACAAATGATGATTTTGATAGTCGCAATCCGAGAATATTTTTGACGGCAAACTCGCGTTTCGATCCATGAACAAACTGGAACGACAATTCTTTCATTGGGTTTGCCTCGCTTCAGTTTTCCCTTGGGTACTATTTAAAATCCACTGCATCACAAATAATGATTCCACGAGACTTGGGACTGAATGCGATGATCGTCACGCTTGAAAACCCGGTTCCTAAATTATTATTCGGAGATGGGAAAAATATACTGTATATATAAAAAAAAGACAGGGAATGTCCAGCCTTCCACGCTTTTCATCTCCACTGGAGTAAATCGTTAAAGTGCGAAAATGGTTGATTGGATCCAGAGGAAATAGGATGGAAAATGACAAAACGTCATCAATTCTGCCCATTAGTGGGCGAGAAAAGACTCGACCGCAAGTGAAATCCCGTCGTGACGCGAAAGATTATTTTTCGCTGAAATTCGTTTCTATCGCTTGTGCTTTCATGGGGCACTTTTCAAAAGTGTCCGGAAATTTTAGTCAGCATGCAAAAGAGCTGGGATGAGACTGAGAGACATTTTCGAGATTTTCAGACGAAATCCCGTACTTTCAGGCGTATGTATTTTTGATGACGACTCTCGTCATGTACAACCTCTCGAACGAAGAACAAAATATCCTTGGGAATTTTTTAAATGCGTGTAAATAAGCATCCAGAGCTTCTACTTGAAGCAATTAGAATCTGGAATTAATTTCGAAGGTACATGAAATACTTTCAAAATTCCAGATTAATTGTGAGAATAATCATCTATAGACTGGGTCTTATTCTATCTAAAAGAATTAAAAACTAGAATTATTCTTGGAAATATCCATTTATTTATCAATGGATTGAAGTACTGTACTTGAAGAAACCCTTGTGATGCCTGAGATTAAAATTTAGTTTTCCTCCAAAAGGACTAGGATTTGAATTCAGGATGACATTGCATGTTCAAACTTCTTTTGCTTATCTATAGTCACACTTATGATACACGCGTTTTTCCCGTGATTCATCACTGATGAAATTAAACTTCTTGACGAATGCGCTGAAGTCTTGAAGAATTCTTCAATAGTTAGAAGAATTAATTTCCGCTTTTTTTCTCACCTCAGCTGTGTGAAACTGGACATATATTTGCAAGAATGCCTTCAAATAACCACTATACTTGAAAGACTGAAAAATACTTTCGCAATTGCGATTTTTCTTCAAATATGGTTATCAGTATTTCATTTCATCTATAGAACCTCACAATTTGGCTCACTAAAAATAGTTTAATCATTGCCCGAAAAAAATTAACGTTCTAATAAGTGTGTCACTCCAAAGCATTGAAGAAACTTCAGCGAGTTTTAAAAGTCTTTGTTTCACGCTACGCATAGATTATAATTTACTTGACGGGTTCGCCAAATACGAACCTAAAGTGATATCTTTCCCGAATAAATGAAATTTCTCTCAATATAATTATAATGTGAAACGGTTTTCACATTTTTTTATGCAAACGAGGAACACATTTACAATTTCTGCTATATCCTGTCTTATCCCGAGCATAAAATCTGAACCCCCCCGTAAATATTTCAAAAAATATATGTAAAATCCTGTATATATATACTAACAGCTGAGAGAGGAAAATCTCATTATATGCCCGAATGGCGCCTAATATACAACAACGAAAGTTCGGAGTTGAAAAAAATAGTATTCTCCGCGTGTGT